AGGTCATCCAGGAACCCCTTTGGCTCTCCATTCTTAGAGCGCTCCCTGCCGGAAGGTCTTCACAACTTTCGGATTTCACTGACAGCCCACTTCTTGTTTTCCTCCAATTCCACGCTAGTACAGACGTCTCTTCCATTACAATGAACAACGGACTGGATAGAAGGTTCTAGAAGTGTTTGCCTGCCAAAGAAGACTGTGGTTAAAAACAACAATAACAAACCATTTAAACCCCTGAGCTTGGTGGGAGGATTGCGAGTTGGAGGCCTGGGGCTGTATGATGAGTTCAAGGCCAGCCTGAGTGTAGCACGAATTCTAATAGGTGTCAATAATAAAAACCAAGAGTCAGATATTAGGGTGTGAAAGCTGAGAGATGAGAAAAACAGTGCAGCCAGCCACTAGAGAGACCTTTAACCTCTACCAAATCCTCAGACCAAAAAGGTGATCCTGTCCTCAGACTTCATGCTCCAACTGCATGCTCAGACTACAATGAGCTCCTGTCTCCTCCTGCCTTATATTCCTCTCTCCACCCAGCCATATCCCTTCCTGAGACATCTCCCTAGTGCTGGGACAAGGCATGGGACTCCTAAGTACTGGGATTAAAGGTGTGCGCCACCACCGCCTGGCCTCTAGTGGCTTAGCTCTGCACACTGATCTTCAGGCAAGATTTATTTGTTAAAACACAAATAAAGCCGGGCGGTGGTGGCACACACCTTTAATCCCAGCACTCAGGAGGCAGAGGCAGATCTCTGTGAGTTCGAGGCCAACCTGGTCTACAAGAGCTAGTTTCGGGACAGACTCCAAAGCTGTCTCAAAAAACCAAACCAAATCAAACCAATCCAAAAAAAAAAAAACCCCACACAAACATAATATCACCACACTAGAAAAATACAAGTGGGTGAGGTGGGGGAGCGGAAACCCATGCAAATGAAGGCACACACACACACACAAGCCTGCTGGGGATCAGGATGTAGCTCTCAGCTACTTCTCCAGCACCATGCCTGCCGGTCTGTCACCATGTTCTCCATCATGATAATGGACTAAGAAGCCTCTGAAACAGTAAGCAAGCCCTCAATTTCTGTTTTACAAGTTAGTGTGGTCATAGAGCATCTTCATAGCAATAGAATAGTGACTAAGACATGACCTCTTTTTCATTCAAAGCAAAATCTGTTTTTTAAAATTCAATGGTTAAATAAATATTTATATATACACATGTACATATATATGAATTAATTTTCTAATACATATGCCTATATTTACACAGCTTAGAGTAACTATTCTATTTCATTAAAGAATGAAAATAAGAAATGAAGACCACAGGGATTTTTTTTCTAGTAAGACATTAATTAAAATGCATACCTCTTTATATTGTGGCAACACTGAGACAGCTTTCTCATTTTTATTATAATCAATAACAAAATAGCCAATACCTCTTATCACAGACTTCTTATAATCAATTCATTCTTAAAGACTATTCTTGTGGCTTTTCAAAGACCCAGTATTCATGTATGGTTGCAATTGATGAATGGAAGTAGCAAGACATGAATTCTTGTTAATATTTTTGTTTGTCAAAGGCAGAATAGTGAAGAATCTCCCTTCTGAGTTTCTTTGCTGGCCTGGACAATAGTTTTGAAACACTGGGGGAAAAAAAACGTTCTTCAGTGTTCCAATTCATTCCCAATTCAATAGCTCCAATATAATGTAAGTGTGCCCTGCCCTCTTAGCAGGAGCACTAGGGAGATTTCCTGAGGCCAGACAACCCACAGAGCAAGGCCCCAGACAATGACAATAAATTGCTTACTATTTCTAATGTGCAAACTATCAACACCCTGACGTGATGTTCATGGACAGATGAACATGGTGTGTTCATGGACAGATGGACATGACATGACGTTTATGAACAGCACACACACAGACCCTCAAGAACAGATGAGAAAATGCAGCTGAATGATTAGGACATGTTGAATTTTGAGAATTTAATTTCTTTTTTTTGCCATATTGTGAATTATAATCTTGTATTTTTCTTTTCAGCAAGGGCTGTGCTGACCCCACGGTAATGTAACAGCTGGCAGTCTCCCGCAGAGGGAGTCCTACTGGACACACCGCCAGGCTTCAGCAATTTCTGGCTCGCACAGTGGGAGACTCTAGTCAGAAAGCAGCAGGAAAAGAGAGGGTGTGTTCCCCTTCTCCCTCCCAGGGTTTGTTCTGCAGCCTTCCTTGCTCAAGGTGGGGGCATCTCCCAGAGTTCCAGGCTCCCCCCAGCACTAGTACCCTAGAGACTCTTGGTTTGCAACCCTGTTGGTCACTGGCCCCTCACCCAGTCACAAGTAGCTCTCACCTCCCACTCAACTTTTTAAGTGTGCAGACCTCGCCTGCTCAAGTTAGCTGCTCTGGTCACCTCTAATATGCTTGCTCCTCCCCACATTTGTAGTTATGTAATTAGGGAAGTTTGTCCGTGCCTCCGAGTCTCTGTTCTGTGAAGATTACATATGATCAATGGGATATTGTTTTTGCAATATTCCCAGTGGCACATGTTTTTGATTCTGTTAAGCTATACCCTGGGGCAGTCATTTCCTCAGAGATGGGTTTACAATGTAAGAAAGGGGAAGTTTTGAGTTTCAAACTCTAAAATTCTGGCGGGATGGGGCAAGAAAAACCCAGGAGCCAGAGAAAAGCGATGAAAACTCCAGGAGCCAGAGCAAAGCAACCTCTTCAGAGGCCCACTGATGTCTATGAAGGTTCCCCACTTCCAGGCAGAGCTGTCCCCTGCCTAGCCAGAACTCTTGGAAGTGTGTCCAAAGTGCTGAGAATGAACGGTTCCAGCTAAGTCCAGGTGACTCTCTAGCTGCCCTATGATGGTCTGCTGTCATGGGGTGGCCAAAGAGAGGATGCTCGGAGTGGGTAAGCAGGCAGGGCTGACGATTATCAAAGATCAAATGTTGATGCGCCCCTGGTGTGAAGAGGAGAAGAGATAAGGACAGGGGTCTAGGGCTCCCAGCCCAGTGCCTTGGTCCTCCACTCCCACTAAGCCTCAGCAGAAAAAGGGAATTCTGAGCTGGATAGCACATCTGTTTGACACATTCATGTCTATCCCTTGCAGAATGGCACCGTGGAGATGGGGGTCTTTGGGCAAACAAAAGCCCACTTTCTGCAGTGGTTTGTGGACAGACTCCTATCCTTCACATGGAGAGCCCTGGGAGCTTCCTCAAATGACTTTGAGCAACTCATCTTCCTGTGCCCCTGAAAACATCGCAGACTGGTGGCCTTGTTGAAAAGAGCCCTATGGCCACTGGGTGGCTTCTTCAGACCTTCCTTTGTGCAGTCTCCATGCAGCTGAGCTTGTTCCTGCACTCCTTAATGCTACTGACTCCGGTTACTGTCATTTGTAACTTTAATAACTGCTGTGTAATGTAACGAAATGCAAGGACGTAAAACCAGAGAGGGCTGTGGTTTCTATGGTGATTAAACCGAGTGTTTTCTTAAGGGCACGCCGCTGAAGGGAAAGAAAACTGTCACAACGAGGGTGTGTATCAGGCAGTTGCAAAAGTTTGGAGAGATGGTAGGTGTCTAGAGTGTTCAGTGCTTGGAGCACTTCAAAGTCTTCCTAGGTTCTTCCTCCACCAGGGTGAAGCTGATGTTGCAAAGCACGAAGTCCCATAAAGGTGGTTTGTGCAAGGAAGAAGGGAGCAGGGTTTCCTGTCGATTGCGTTGGGTGGGTCACTCAGTCTAGGGGTTTGTAACCCACCCTGCAATCAGTTATTCCAGGGTCACGGAGGGGCGCTACCTGGAAGGGAATGAGCTAAGACAGAAGAAGGAGGCCAAGCAGATTTGTCAAAGCCTCCTTTTATTAGGGACGGGTTACAGTTTATATATGGTAAGGAATGGGGGGCAGGGCACGGGATCTCGCCGGCCGCGTGGTTCCGGTCACGTAAGCCAGGAGGTAGGCCAGGAGTCACAAGTTGCCACACCTGGTTCCCTGGATAGTTGGAATGTGAGGCGGGTTCTGCTAACAGATTAGCAGTTAATTGGGTGAGGGGCAGATTCTGTCAATAGAACCTAATTATGGGTGTGGGGTTCTCTGCAGACTCCCCAGGGTGATTCCTGTAATGGATTTTTAGAGGGGAAATGGCTCCTGACAGTTTCCCACTCTGCGTGGGAAGAAAATCTTACTTGAACATAAAATGTTGGCAAGTGGAGATGCATCCAGGCCAGAAGTTAAAAGATACGTATCTAGGGCTGAAGAGATGGCTCAGTGGTTCAGAGCACTGGCAGCAGACGGGGTGGGCTCAGTTGCAACACCCACATTTTGACTTACAACTAACTGCCTTTAAGTCCAGTTCCAGGGGCATCTGATTCTCTTTCCTAGTCTCTGTGGGCACCAGGCACAGAAGTGGTGCACATACATGCAGGCAAAACACTCATACTCATAAAAAATAAAAAAACAAAATCTTAAAAGCACTAAAATGATCTTACTTTAAATATAGATACAAGTGTGTGTGTGTGTTTAATATACATAAACAAAGTTTTTTGTGGTGGTGAGTATTGATATCTGGGCCTGACACACGCTAGGTAAGCACTTTATCATTGAGCTACACACCTAGTTTGTTTTTAAAGAGTACACCACGCCCATCTCCAGCTCCACCAAGGAGAAACATCCTATTTGTTAAGGCCTGTCACTCAGCGGTACTTGGCAGGTCTCGCTTGATGGCAACTTATTTTTCATTAAGGAAATATGGGATTTGGGGGTGCTTTAGGTGCGCCTGAGCGGTAACAACAAGGAGCCCTGTAATGTGTCCCAGGTAGCCAGCAGGCAGTAATCCTACAACGTGTAAGGATTACCCTGGGCCACCAGGGGTCAGAGCTGGGCGGTCTCGCCATGCTGCGATCTTCCCGGCAGGGGGCGATGTCCGGCCACAGTGGCCGCGCGGGCCGCGTTCTGATTGGCTGGAGGCGGTGGCCCTAGTCCACGGCCGCACGACCCGGCCACTAAGTGGCGAAGCTCGCCAGTCGGAGCGCCAGTCTGAGGGCCTCCGAGGCAGCAACAAGGCGGGCGCGGCGCGGCGGGGCGGGAGGGGACAAGATCAGGGCAGGAGGCAAGCTAATCGCAAAGAGTCCCGCACATCCAGCAAAATGTTGTCCTGGCGGCTGCAGACGGGCTCCGAAAAGGCCGAGCTTCAGGAACTCAATGCTCGGCTTTATGAGTACGTGTGCCGGGTGCGGGAGCTGGAGCGCGAGAACCTGCTGCTGGAGGAGGAGCTGCGCCGCCGGCTGAGCCAAGAAAACCTCTGGATCGAGGACCAGACGCGCTTCGCCGAGGAGGCGCGCAACCTGCGGCAGCAGCTGGACGAACTGAACTGGTCCACAGCGCTGGCCGAGGGCGAGCGCGACGCGTTGCAGAGAGAGCTGCGGGAGCTGCAGCGAGAGAGCGCGGAAGCCAGCGCTGCCCGCAGCCGCCTGGACGCGGAGCTAAGCGCGGAGCGGCGGGAGCTGGAGGAGGCCCTGGGAGCACGCGCCGCCCTCGAAGCGCTGCTGGGCCGGCTGGAGGCTGAACGCCGCGACCTGGACGCGGTCCACGAGCGCCAAGTGCGGGAGCTCCGTGCCCGCGCCGCCAGCCTCACCATGCACTTCCGAGCCCGTGCCACCGGCTCCGCGGTGGCCCAGCCGCGCCTGCAGGACGTGCACGACAGCTACGCGCTCCTGGTGGCCGAGTCGTGGCGGGAGAATGTGCAGCTGTACGAGGACGAGGTGCGCGAGCTGGAACAGGCGCTGCGCCGCGGCCAGGAGAGCCGGCGCCAGGCGGAGGACGAGGCCCGGCTGTGCGCGCAGGAGGCGGATGCGCTGCGGAACCAGGCGCTGGAGTTGGAGCAGCTGCGCGCTCGGCTGGAGAATGAGCTGCTGCGGATGCAAGAGGAGTACGGGATTCAGGCCGAGGAGCGGCAGGTCCGTGGCCAGGGACCGCGCCCCTTCCCTATAGCCTTGTCCAGACACCCCCTGCGTACCGAGTGGGCGAGCGGCGGGGTTCCCTGCACCCTCAACCGGTCCAACCCCACCCAGGGAAGCGTACACTGCCAGCGGCTTTGCTATTCATGAGGTCACAGGATTCTGGCATGTAGCTAGCCTAAGAATAAGGGCTTGGTGCAATGATCCTTCAATCAGAGGGCTGATGCCATGTGACAAGTCCCCGTGGATAGCTTAGTGTCAATCATCTTTTTAGAGTGTCACATTTAGATTCAGACGTGTCTAGGCACGTCCTGACCAACGATCCCGCTAGATTGACCTCTCTTTTCTTTCTTGTTTCCTGGGCTTGCTAGATCGAGTAGCCTAGGATCCAAAACTCAGCCCAGATTTTGAACTCGGATTGGTAGTGTGCTGGGAGCTTCAGGGCACTGCCAAGTCCTTACCTGGAGGCCGCCCACGCTTCTAGGACTCCAAGTGCCTCTTTAATTTCGCCAGAATTATTTTCCAGCTGGGGGCAGCTGCTCGGAGCTCTCTGGACGGCTGTCATATTTTTTTCTGGGTTTTGTTTGTTCCCTTCAGAGGACTAAGTCACTGTCATACTGAAAAAAGGTCAGAGCTGTTTTGCTCACAGTATGAGCTGACGGCAGAGCCCTGGATTGTGTTTAAAAAAAAAAAAAACTAGGAGAAAGCAGGCCCCCGTGGTGAGATGTTATTACAACTACAGACTAATATAAACGGTTCCTATTTCAGAGCAGGTGAGTGCTAACCCTCAGCCGCGGCGTGGGTATACCTGTGGCTGATGTATTGTCGGTACACTCGGTTCAGCTCTAGTGTTTGGCTCTCACCCGGCGCCCAGCCCCAGCCAGAATTGGAAGTACTCTCGAATCATACTATTGGTAGTTCTCAGGAAACTGGTTTGAAATAACATGAGCACGACTTCAGGACGACTTTAAGAGCCGTGTTTGCAGCTGGGAGCTGGAGGTTGGAGATGCTCTGTGTTCTTTAAAATCCCACGTGACCGCGAGATGGGTGGAATGGATGATGAGTGATGTGACAGACAGCGAACCTCTTGGTTTCCTCTGGGTCCCAGGGCTGAGCTAGAATTTTGGTAGCCAGAGAGTCAGAGACTGGACAGGAGATCATGGAAAGCCACAAGGAATCAACCCCGGGGGGGGGGGGGGATCCCTTCTTTGGGGTTGTAGACTTCGGGCATCTCCCTCTCCTATCCTACTTGGAATATTTTGGGGCCTCGAAGCTCTGATTTCAGGATTCTTTTTACAGCAGATTCTTTCTCCCCAATAAAATCCTCAGTAGAACCTCAAATCTGAGAAGATAGAAGGGGAGTTCCCCAAATGGAGGAAAGATCAGGACTTGGAAGTGCAGCTAGAATCACTGTCCAACCCTTCTGTCAGGACTCCAGCCCCTAGTGAAGTCACGCTGAGGTCACTCCTGACTTCCAATAGGATCCCACCCACCCTCAGCTCCCTACCCTGGAATCTGTTTCTGATTTGGCAACCCCCTTCCTGGAAGTGAGAGGACCCCGATTATTTTTTTCTTCAGCCTCAATTAGTTTAGGTTTTGTTTTTGCTAAATGTTACCAGCTGCGATCATAACTATATTATGACCCCTTTCTCAGCCAACTGCGTTTCAGATCCCATTCGGAAAGACTAATCACCAGCCATAAACAGTGTTCAGAATTATATTCAAGAGAAAATATTGTTTCAACCCCGAGCTTCTACTCTCCTCCCCCTCAAATTCCTTAGAAGCTCACGCTGGAGAGAAAGAAAATATAAAGACTGACCTAGCTGACTTCCTGAAAAAAAAAAAGTTGCATAACTAAATAGTGAGCCTTGGGGAGTATCAGGGCTAGCCTGTGTATTCACTCTTAGTCCACACACCAATCTCAGGAGGTGGAGGCTAAGATTAGCCCTGTTTTACAGATGGTAAAATTAATGGTGGGCCACTAGTCAGTAAGTGGCCGAAACAGGATTCCATGCAGACAGACTGACTGAGGTGAGCAGCTCACCACTGGGCCACATTTGCTTTCTCCTATTTTATACAAGAGAAACCTTTACCTCTGCATCAGTTAAATAATAATTGCCCTTTCTAAGAGCCAGCCCAAGGTGGCCTGCTGTCTTAGAACCTTAGGATGCCAGCCCAGAGGTGGTCTGCTGTCTTAGAACCTCAGGATGCCAGCCCAGAGGTGGTCTGCTGTCTTAGAACCTCAGGATGCCAGCCCAGAGGTGGTCTGCTGTCTTAGAACCTTAGGATGCCAGCCCAGAGGTTGTCTGCTTCCTTGGAACCTCAGGATGCCAGCCCAGAGGTTGTCTGCTTTCTTAGAACCTCAGGATGCCAGCCCAGAGGTGGTCTGCTGTTTTAGAACCTCAGGATGGCAGCCCAGAGGGAACCTGCTACTCTAGAGCTGAAAGATGCTTTCAGACCCTGCTCCCTGATGTATGATTTTGGTATTATTTCTTTCATTTGCTTTTTTTCTGTATCCTGATGGCAGGAAATGTTGGAAGACCTGTTAGTAGCCTCAGAAAGGCCTTAATGACATCATTTACTCCAGCCTTACCCTAGACACACTCATGATTTCCCTGTAATGGGAGCTTTTGGCTGCTAGCTCCAATTGTGTGTGAATGATTCCAAAATAAGAACAAGACATTTCTTTTCATAAGAATTCAGGCAGGATTAGTCGTGTAGTTGTAGCCTTTCTGTTATGGGGTGAATCCTGACTCTCAGTCTATCTCAGATTATAAATTCTCCTCAAGATTTAGCTCATTAACCCTTGTGTGGCCCAGTTTCCTCATCTGTGAAAACGCAGAGCAGCCCACAGGTTGCTGTTGGTTGAATGAATTGAATTACTTTATTCAGTTAATAGTTGTCAAGCACTCAGGGTGCCAGGCTTATTCTTTGTGACCGTGGGAAAAAGCAGTGAAAAAAAAAAAAACCAAAATGGAAGGGGACGCGCTCTGATGGCAACTGTCTGGAGGTGGCACCAGTGCACGTCACTCACGGAGAAGTCAGGAAGCTAGCGTGACTGGGGAGGGCGAATAAATCAGAGAGCAGCTGTTCAGGTGCCTCTTTCTAAATCTGAGTTCCACCGCAAGCCCGCAGAGAGTCCCGAGCAGAGGGGATGTCTTAGTGGCTCATCCTCTGCCGTGTTGAGCATAGTCTGTGCTGGATCATGGTGGGGACAGGGAGACCTCCTTACGACACACTTGCAACAACTGCAGGAGTCTTGGACGGGGAGCAGAAATGCTGCCCCGGGGACGGACCCTACCTTCAAGTTCAAGCTATCAAGGTTTGTTGGCAGGTTGGATAGAGTAAGAGGAGGGGGGGGGGGGATCAAAGTTGACGCCAGGACTGTGGAAGAGCAACCTAAAGAAGGGCACTCCTTGCCGAAGGAGATCTGTGCAGAAGGCGGGCAAAGGTCGGAGGTCTGAGATGCTCCGCTAATGCCCTCCTGGCACTGTGGGATAAGCCTGGAGGTTAGAGTGCTGCCTGGACCGGCCACAAACACACAATGACACCCCATTCACACTGCCACTGCTGCTTCTCCTCTGCTCCCTCCTCCTCTTGAGACAAGATCTCTCTATGTAGTCCCAGCTGTCCTAGAACCCACTAGGTAGGCCAGCCTGCTGGCCTTGAACTCACAAAGATCCTCCTGCTTTTGCCTTCCGATTGCTGGGATTAAAGGCATGTGCCACCACACCTGGCTTAATATATGCTTTTTTTTTTTTAATGGTTTCGGGGGTGAATGAACTGTCCTAGTATTTAAGTCCCCTTAAGCTCCAACATTTAAGATCCTAGGCAACTAGGACTTCAGCAAGCTCTGGCCCCTCTGTCTGGTATGTTCAGGCAGGGCAGGCGCAAGCGTGGTGAAGAGGCAGTAGCAGCATGCTGTCCCTGAGGTAGAGCTGCAGCTTAGCGCGGTGGGTGGTTACTGGAAAGTCCTCTGCATAGCAGCTAAAAGACTGTGATCTCCCCTGAGTTTTTGCAGCCTTGGATGAAACTGCTTCCGCGCAGCCTGGAAGTACCCCCCTGTGTGGGAGGCTCCAGCACTCCTGGCCTGGCCCATGGCCTGAAAAGTTTTGGCAGAGCAGAGCCGGAGTCTGCAACTTCCTCCCACTGGCAGGATTGGTTGTGATTTCATTTTTGCCTCCTAAAGTCAGAGGCTTTTCCTTTCACCGTGTGGGAAGAGTTGACTCACATGGAAATTCGCTTGGAACTAAATTTATTTCAGCTTCAGAGCAGCTTTCTTTTCCTGTTTATATTTTTGTGGGGTGGGGTACAGAGAATTACACTTTATTCAGGGGGAGGGGAGAGAATATTCCTGGGCAGGGCTGTGGCATGGCTCCATAATTTTGATCTGTGAGTGGAGGACTGAGTATA